TTTTTAAAGAAAAGCAGTCCTGTCGGACAAGAGGACAGACTTCTGACTCTTCCGATCAGGAGTACTATGGTGCCAGGCAGCCAGTGGAAGACAGGGAGGTACCACTTGGCTCTGAAGTCACACAGAAAAAGCCTGTCTCCAGCTCTTACCTGCCAGGTGATGCCCAATATCTTATTTATCCTCATCTGGCACCACCCTAAAGCTGAGAAACAGAGGAACCCCCACCTCTCCGGTTAACCACTGCACGCAGCAGCAGAATTCTGAGTAGCAGGAGATCAGTTCTCTATTCATTCTCCAATTCCAATCTCATCAGATGTTTACTGAAGAAAACAAACTGGCTTGAGTACGCCTAACAGTTCTTCGCTTCCAGCGAGCCTTCCGGAATCCAAGGAGGCAGAAATCTGCACACGCGCTCACACCCCACCCTGGCCAAATCTCTTCGACTTTATATTCCAAGAAAGAATCCAAACAACTGGAGGAGGCAGGGCCCTTCCCACGGCCCCCCTCCCCCAGTGGCTGAGGCTGGCCCTGGGCCTATTTCATCCCCGCTTTCTGTGGTCTTCTTATAGGACCACAGAGGATCACAGAGGGCTTTGCAAAGAAATCCAGTATCATAGTAGCTCTTAGCCAGTAATGACCATCAGAATCCCCTGCGGCTTCTCCACCTAGTCTCCCACAGGGGAGTCTCACTAGGTCAGCAGCTGGATCTCGGCAGGTGCAAACTGAAAAGTCCCACAGGGGATTACTTCCAGCTCCAGCGCAGTCACACCATGGTGGCTTTCCTATTCCCACTGTCTTCACCTGGTTTTTGGTTTACGAAGTGTCCTGATGTGTGACACCAGTAGGGCACACACAGTCACCTGCCACTATTTCCCAATCTCTTCCTAACAATGTTGGTAACCCAATGCCTCCAGCACTTTCTCTGCTGTGACACGGAGCCCCTAGGGCCACTCTGGCGGGACACCACGGGCTGGAGAACCAGTACCTCCTTTCAGCGAACCCTTGCCCTCTGCCTCCAATAGCTGGGACCTCAACCCACAATGAGCCAATTCTTGGGGAAACATTTTTCCCAGGTGATAAGGGCGCATCTAACAATACCCACCGAACTGGAGGGAAATGTGCTCTTCTACCATCCTTCTAGGCCTATCGGCTCATCAGAGTGCCCGCCTCAGAACGCCAGCCTGAGGAAAAAAGAATTTTGACACACCCTCTTTCCTAAACCAGAAGGAAGGCAAAACCCGGGTGGGAGGGATGCCAAGAGTGCAGTCTCCCGGCAGCATCTCTAACGTTGGAGAATAAACCGACGACGCTGATGGGGTCTGAACCCATGTCACGTTCCCCATCCCTTTACGGTTCGTGGATTTGCCCCGCACCCTACCCCGCCCCGCCTCCATCCACATCTCAGGTTCTCTGCAACCCCTTCCGCTCTGGCCCCCCGCCACTCCGATCACTAACACCGCACAGCAACTCAGAGCCCGGCTGGGTCCCCGCAGCTAACCCGAAGGCGGTCAGGCTTCTCCAAGGCCCACAGGCGCGGACCCATTCCCCTTCCCCGCCCCCAGGGACTCCCTCCCGCCGCCACCACCCTCCTCCCGGAAGCCAGGCTCCCTTCAAGTTCCACGAAGCAGCCCCGACAGCCCCTCTTCGAACTGCCTGGACAAGCCAGGGGACCGCTCCGGGGCTCGCTCCCGCAAGGGCAGTCGGGGCCCGGGTCGCCCCGGGGGCCGCGGCGGGGCTGAATTCCAGGGGGCGGAGAGAGCTCCGAGCCCAGCTCCGGCGCCCGGGCCGCGGCGCACCTGACG